GGGAGGGGCGCGGGGGGGGCCCAGCAGTGACGTCACCGCCAGCCAGGCCAGGGCGGCCGCGCCCCCCAGGGCCAGGAGGCGGAGGGGGGCTGGGGGAGGGGAGAGGGGGAATCAGCCCCAAAATCACCCCCAAAACCCGACCCAAAATACCCAAAAATCAACCCAAAAATCAAACCAAAACCCGACCCAAAATACCCCAAAACAGACCCAAAATACCCAAAAATCAACCCAAAACCCGACCCAAAATACCCCCAAAACAGACCCAAAATATCCCAAAATCAACCCAAAATCACCCCAAAAATCAAACCAAAACCCGACCCAAAATACCCCAAAATCACACCAAAAACCGACTCAAAATACCCCAAAATTAACCCAAAAATCACCCCGAAAACCCGACCCAAAATACCCCAAAATCAACCCAAAATAAACCCAAAAATCACCCCAAAAACCGACCCAAAACGGAACTAAAACAGACCCAAAATACCCAAAAATCAGCCCAAAATCAACCCAAAAATCAAACCCAAAACCGCCCCAAAAACAGACCCAAAATATCCCAAAATCACCCCAAAAGTCAAACCAAAAACCGACCCAAAATACCCCAAAATCAACCCAAAATCAGCCCAAAAATCAAACCAAAAACCGATCCAAAACGGACCCAAAACAGACCCAAAATACCCAGAAATCAACCCAAAACCTGCCCGAAAATCAGCGTAAAAACAGACCCAAAACACCCCGAAATCGCCCCAAAAACGGACCCAAATCACCCCAAAACCAGCCCGAAATTAACTCGAAAATCACCCCAAAACCGACCCAAAACCGCACCCAAAACACCCTGAAATCAACCCAAAAACGACCCGAAAATCACCCCAAAAATCAGCCTGTAAATCACCCCCAAAACGGACCCAAAATACCCTGAAATCAACTCAAAAACGGACCCAAAATACCCTGAAATCACCCCAAAAACGGACCCAAAATATCCCGAAATCACCCCAAAAATCAACCCAAAAACCGACCCAAAACGGACCGAAAACACCCCAAAATTAACTCAAGAATCACCCCAAAACCAGCCCGAAATTAACCCGAAAATCACCCCAAAATACCCTGAAATCAACCCAAAAACGGACACAAAACACCCCGAAATCAGCCTGAAAATCACCCCAAACCCAGACCCAAACCAGACCTAAAACACCCCGAAATCAACCCAAAAATCACCCGAAAACCAGACCGAAATTAACCTGAAAATCACCCCAAAATACCCTGAAATCAACCCAAAAATCAACCCAAAAACGGACCCAAATCTACCCAAAAATCACCCCCAAACCAGACCCAAAACAGACCCAAAAGAGCCCGAAATCAACCCAAAAGCGGATCCAAAACAGACCCAAAATACCCTGAAATGAACCCCAAAACATCCTGAAATCACCCCAAAACCAGCCCGAAATTAACCCGAAAATCACCCCAAAATACCCTGAAATCAACCCAAAAATCACCCCAAAACCAGACCCAAAATTCCCCGAAATCACCCCAAAAACGGCCCCAAAATCACCCTGAACGTTCACCCCGAAACAGCCACAAAACTCCCCCAAACCCAGCCCGAAATACCCCAAAAATCAC